AACACGCGTTGTGCACATTGAGAAACTACTCGTCATTTGTATTACATATACATTGAATATTACAAAAGTACGCATGAAAAGCTAAAGAGGAAATGTGCATCAACATGCATCACTGTCCTACATCAAGCAATGTACAAATTAAAGAAATGTACAGCATAAAGAAATGTACAACATAAGGAAATGTACAGCATAAAGAAATGTACAACATAAAGAAATGTACAACATTAGGAAATGTACAGCATAAAGAAATTTACAGCATAAAGACATTTACAACATAAGGAAATGTACAGCATAAAGAAATTTACAGCATAAAGCCATTTACAACACTTATGAAATGTACAGCATAAAGAAATGTACAACATAAGGAAATGTACAGCATAGAGGAATATACAGCATAAAGAAATGTACAGCATAAAGAAATGAACAACATAAAGAAATGTACAGTATAAATAAATGTACAGCATAAATAAATGTACAGCATAAATAAATGTACAACATAAAGAAATGTACAGTATATAGAAATATACAGCATAAAGAAATGTACAGTATAAAGAAATGAACAACATAAAGAAATGTACAAAATACAGAAATGAACAGAATAAAGAAATGTACAACATTAGGAAATGTACAGCATAAAGAAATGTGCAGCATAAAGAAATGTGCAGCATAAATAAATGTACAGTATATAGAAATATACAGCAGAAAGAAATGTACAGTATAAAGAAATGAACAACATAAAGAAATGTACAAAATACAGAAATGAACAGAATAAAGAAATGTACAACATAAAGAAATGTACAGCATAAAGAAATGTACAGCATAAAGAAATGTACAGCATAAAGAAATGAACAACATAAAGAAATGTTCAACATAAAGAAATGTACAACATAAAGAAATGTGCAGCATAAAGAAATGTACAGCATAAAGAAATGAACAACATAAAGAAATGTACAACATAAAGAAATGTACAGCATAAATAAATGTACAGCATAAATAAATGTACAACATAAAGAAATGTACAGCATAAGGAAATGTACAAAATACAGAAATGAACAACATCAAGAAATTTACAGTATAAAGAAATGAACAATATTAAAGAATGTGCAACATAAAAGATATATAGCATCAAGAAATGAACATCAAGAAATGAAAATCATGAAATGTACATCAATGGATTTTCAGCATCAAGAAATGTACAACACAGCGTCAAATGTCGCTTGTGTGACAGCAGTCAGGAAATCAACTATAACAACAGTGGCATTCCTCAGATATTCGCCAAAAATTGACATTGATGTTGATTGTGTAGATGTGTATTTCAGCGGATATATGTCGCCATGGAAATGAGGCAGAGAAACGAGTTGGTCGTTCGCCTAGGGACGGGCATCAATGGATTATGCCGATCCCTCATGCAGGTAGGGCCCATTGTTTTCACCAAGCGATTTTTCGGACTCTTAGACATTAATATCCTAACACGTGCAAGGTTTGCGTCTTTACATCTGTTCCTTAACTATTTTCCAACGTTCTGGATACAATGTTCAATATAGATGTGTGTGGCATACTTTAACATTAAAGGTATCATGCCGTTTAAGTTAACGTGCTCCTTGCTATAAGCATGTACTATACTGTTTTAAAAACACACTAAATCATTCATATTACGTTTAATCGTGTTGGTTTATTATATTCTATTCAATATTGATATTTTTGGTACTCGAATATAAGTTTATAATTCATATAAATAACTGTACTCATATGCATTTATGGATATGTAAAACGGTTATGCATTAAGGTGCAATAAGTGCACATTTGCACTCTGATTGGAGATGCAACCTCTTTTGCATAGCATGTAATCGTCGAATTAATAATAATTACATTTGGTTTATTATATTCTATTCAATATTGATATTTTGGAGACAACTCTTTCGTTACTGATTGACGAGGTCGAAGCATAATGTGGCATACGTATTGTGTCGCATCATTCTGTTTGGTAGCCTTTTGCATAATCGAGATATGATACTGAAGACATTTCTCATCTAAAGTCCTAATATATCTTATGTGAACACGCTTCCATTGGACTTATTGTACTTCCCTTTTTGTTGCCACTCTTCTACGTGGTGTAGGAGATTAGGGCACTGTCTTTCAATGAATCCCACGCAAATCAGACTATAATGTGTTGCAATGAAGGTAGGACATACTGATTACAATGGAGCTCGTACAGAGTGTTTTGAAATATGTTGTCTTATATCAGGTGAGGTGAAATGGGGTTTAACGTCGTGCCTTAGAATATTTCGCTCATATGACGTTCAGTCGACTTCACCAAACAATTACCAAATTTGCATGCGATATTGCTCTGTATGTGTGACTGCTTGTACTAGCCCAGACTGAAGCTGGTTTTATCGTGCTAGCCCACTGAGACACCATGCCGCAGTGAAGCATGAATACCCCACTCAGACACATTATACTGACTCCAAGCCAACCAGTCCTTGTTGTACCCATTAATGCCGAGTGACAAACAGCGCTTTAACCGTCAGACAGAGGACAACAACAAGTGCCATATTTGAACGTCTTTTGGTATGACGCGGTCGGGGATCGAACCCGCTACCTTCCGCTCTCCGGGAGGACGCTCTAACCACTACACCACGGAGGCGGTCTGCCTTATACCAACTCGCCTCCATTGGATCTATTAGGATTTTTGTCAACACGCCTCTACGTGGTTTAAATGAGACTGAGGTATCTTTTTTCAATGAATGTCAGACTAAACCGGTTTATGGTAGCCAGGTCATCCTGGTATAATGGAGTTGGACATCATGGTTTAAAATAGGCCAGGTCATCCTGGTTTAATCAGGATTGGGCATCATGGTTAAACGGAGGTCAGTCACCCTGGTTTAATGGAGGTCAGTCTGGTTAAATGGAGGTTAGTCACCCTGAGTTAATGGAGGTCAGTCACCATGGTTAAACGGAGGTCAGGTCACCCTGGTTAAATGGAGGTCAGATCATCCTGGTTAAATGGAGGTCAGGTCATCTTGATTAGATGGCGGTCAGGGCATCCTGGTTAAATGGAGGCCAGGGACATCCTGCTTTAATGGAGGCCAGGTCATCAGTCTGGTTTACTGGAGGACAGGGCATCCTGGTTTAATGGAGGTGAAACCACAGTAGTCAAATGGAGGTCACGCCGCCGTGGTTTATTGGACAAACTCCTGTCATTCCATTACGAACTGGGTTTTTTTTTACCCAAAGTTAATAAAAACACATACATATAATGTATTGTTATATACATGCACACGGTAAGCACTGATCGTCAGTAACCATGCTTGTCGTAAGACGCATCTAACGGGATAGGGTGGTTAGGCTTGCTGACTTGGATCACTCGTGTCATCGTATCCCAGTTGCGCAGATCGATGCTCATGATGTCAGTTATTGGATTGTCTGGTACATACTCGATTAGTTACAGGCCGGCGTCATATAGCTGGAATATCGCGGCATTAAACGACAAACAAGCGATATGGTTTCCAAAACGATGATTAAAACATGCAATGACATTAATAAGGGGTAAAGATGGGTTTAACGCCATGTTAAAGGTAAAAGGTTAAAGGAAATACACGGCCACGTATATGCACGTTCGTGAGTCCGGTCTAATATACGTTTTATTGGGCTAGGCAACAACAAATACCACCTTTTATTTCTTTCGGTACATGGATCCTACCAACGGCCTCTAGCTCGCCCGTTCTCTTCATCACGTTACCTCGACGCGACACAACTTGAATGCTGTTTAAACGACTCACCCATTCCCTTCCAGGGTCAGTACGTCTCTGTAAGATATGTTACCTCATTTCAGATTCAGTAATCGAGGGAGCTTCAGTACGGATATCATTGTAAGATTTTTATGTTAATTTTAAACATGAATATGAATATCCACCCAGTGATTAAAACTGACAAAGCTTTGCAGTAGTTAGTGATGTGATTTGTTACTTTGATTTATGCTAAAAGTGGCCACATATAATTTAATATGGGTGGCATCTTCTGTGGACCTGGGCCTGTGGGGTAGATTTGTTAGCTTTTGCCAGTCTTTACCAGTAACAACTGTTGATTAGTTAATTTATACAAACAAACGTTACTATAGAAGTTAATGGGAAAATATTCGGCTTTGTGTGATCATAACAAAAGCCACCACCGACAATTTCAAAGGTAAGGGGAGACTACTCTAGTTAACACCTGCCTGTTGAACGCGACAACCCACAACTGACCGTATCAAATGTAAGACTCACAGTAATGTATCCCGTGTAGGCTTTAACAGGGAGTTGTCAGTCATAATCCTACACATACAACAACAATAGGCATTTCATCTGATACTTATATTTGTACTTCCCAAGCCATACTGACAGTCCTTCATATTTGTACGATGGATCAACTGCTCGAAGCTTTCGTAAAATACTCCTATGGTTTCACTCAGGATTCGTACTCTCCCGCCACATTTTGATCGAAGTATCAAAAACAATATTTAGAAATTAATCAAGTTTAAAACATCAAATTTAGAAAGATTAACATGACACTGAATTCAACGAAAAGGAACAAAACAAACATGACATCATCATGTCCAACTCATTAATGTGCTAATGCTCAGGCGTAAAGTGGCATTGCTAAAGCTCTTAACAGGCGTAAGAGTGGCATTCAGCGAATATTTGTAACTTGAACCCGTCTGTTGACTCATGGATCACAGTCCTGGGTAGCTTGGTACAAGCTTTTCAGTGTTTTAAGGGGGTTTTCCATTAAAGTGGTCATGTTTTGTTTGGGTTTGTTTTTTCTTGTATCTTCTATATTCATTCTCTTAAACGTCGGTTTATTGAAGTACGGTTTGCATCGATATTAATGCAATTCAGCGAATATTTGTAACTTGAACCCGTCTGTCAATGAGTTATGGGTCACAGTGCTGGGTAGCTTGGTACAAGATATGTCCTATCAGTTTATCAGTAAGGGGGTGTTTTCCATTAAAGTAGGTCACACCGATGAAACCTGACCCGCTGTTCATCCCACTGACCACATCGCGTGTTGAGGATCTGAATACTGCGAGCACGCTGAGCACACTTGCCTTCAGTCTGACCAAGGTGTAAGTAGGTAAGTACATCACTTTCACGTTGACCCGTGAAGATCTGGGTAAGAATAATCTTCAGGAACCCATATGCTTGTCGTGAGAGGTGAATAACGGTATCGAGTGGTCAGGCTCGCTGGCTTGGTTGACACATGTCATCGTTCCCCAATTGTGGAGATCGATGCTCAAGATGCTGATGACTGGATGGTCTGGTCCAAACTCGATTATTTACAGACCGCCGCCATATTGCCGGAATATTGCTGAACGCGTCGTTAAACAACAACAAAACAACTTTCACGTTGTCCCTGTCAAATATTTTGGATACTTGCGAAACCATGTGTTGTGTGACGATGAAGCCCTCCATATTTTTAGTTCGTATCTCATCTCTAATCTCGGCCATCAAGGGAGATTGACACACATATAAATAAAACTGTTTTTGTTAATTACGTTTATGTTCTTAAGTTAGAACACGTGGTGTCAGTCTGTAAATGTATTATAACGGAACAGATCGAATTGTTTTAACAATAGGTGCATGTCGGGTATATATATTCGCGGGAATTTCCGAGGGAACTGGTGTACAATTCAAGAAACCACGTGTGCATAACTACTCATGTCCCGAATGTGGGGAATCGAAGCCGGATTTTCAGCGTGTCGAACGAACGCTTTAACCACTAGGCTACCCCACCGCACCAGACGGTGATGAGACGTATCGCAGTTTTACAGACAATTCAAGTGACAATTGTGTAAAGGAGTCCGAAGGTCATTTCGCAACTGCGTTGTTCATGTGTGATTAAAGTCGTATCATCCAGAGGTCGAGGGGTATTACCATGTTCAATAAGCTTCTAATATTTGCATGGACAAAGGAACGGTGACGATGCGTCTAGAAGTACGAAACGTAGGAGCTAGCATTATAGCCACACATTGTACATCAAGTAGTGAGTATAAACCACGAGTGTAAACCAGTATCGCGAAGACAGCAAGCCTCTAAGCTATACAATGCGGGTGAGTTTTCTATTTCAGGTAGTGAGTGTAAACCTGTATAAGACAGCAAGCCTTTAAGTTATACAATGCTGGTGAGTTTTGTATTTCAAGTAGTGAGTGTAAACCACGAGTGTAAACCAGTATCGCGAAGACAGCAAGCCTCTAGGTATTACAATGCTGGTGAGTTTTGTATTTCAAGTAGTGAGTGTAAACCACGAGTGTAAACCAGTATCGCGAAGACAGCAAGCCTCTAGGTATTACAATGCTGGTGAGTTTTGTATTTCAAGTAGTGAGTGTAAACCACGAGTGTAAACCAGTATTGCGAAGACAGTAAGCCTCTAAGTATTACAGTGCTGCTGAGTTTTGTATTTCAAGTAGTGTGTGTATACCACGAGTGTTTAATTATTGTGGATTTCAAGTAATAAGTGTAAATCACGAGTGTTTAATTATTGTGGAGACAGCAAGCCTCTAGGTATTACAATGCTGGTGAGTTTTGTATTTCAAGTGGTGAGTGTAAACCACATGTGTAAACCAGTATCGTGAAGACAGCAAGCCACTACGTATTACAATGCTGGTGAGTTTTGTATTTCAAGTAGTAAGTGTAAACCACGAGTGTAAACCAGTATCGCGAAGACAGCAAGCCTCTAGGTATTACAATGCTGGTGAGTTTTGTATTTCAAGTAGTAAGTGTAAACCACGAGTGTAAACCAGTATCGCGAAGACAGCAAGCCTGTAGGTATTACAATGCTGGTGAGTTTTGTATTTCAAGTAGTAAGTGTAAACCACGAGTGTAAACCAGTATCGCGAAGACAGCAAGCCTCTAGGTATTACAATGCTGGTGAGTTTTGTATTTCAAGTAGTAAGTGTAAACCACGAGTGTAAACCAGTATCGCGAAGACAGCAAGCCTCTAGGTATTACAATGCTGGTGAGTTTTGTATTTCAAGTAGTAAGTGTAAACCACGAGTGTAAACCAGTATCGCGAAGACAGCAAGCCTCTAGGTATTACAATGCTGGTGAGTTTGTATTTCAAGTAGTAAGTGTAAACCACGAGTGTAAACCAGTATCGCGAAGACAGCAAGCCTCTAGGTATTACAATGCTGGTGAGTTTTGTATTTCAAGTAGTAAGTGTAAACCACGAGTGTAAACCAGTATCGCGAAGACAGCAAGCCTCTAGGTATAACAATGCTGGTGAGTTTTGTATTTCAAGTAGTAAGTGTAAACCACGAGTGTAAACCAGTATCGCGAAGACAGCAAGCCTCTAGGTATTACAATGCTGGTGAGTTTTGTATTTCAAGTAGTAAGTGTAAACCACGAGTGTAAACCAGTATCGCGAAGACAGCAAGCCTCTAGGTATTACAATGCTGGTGAGTTTTGTATTTCAAGTAGTAAGTGTAAACCACGAGTGTAAACCAGTATCGCGAAGACAACAAGCCTCTAGGTATTACAATGCTGGTGAGTTTTGTATTTCAAGTAGTGAGTGTAAACCACGAGTGTAAACCAGTATCGCGAAGACAGCAAGCCTCTAGGTATTACAATGCTGGTGAGTTTTGTATTTCAAGTAGTGTGTGTATACCACGAGTGTTTAATTATTGTGGATTTCAAGTAATAAGTGTAAATCACGAGTGTTTAATTATTGTGGAGACAGCAAGCCTCTAGGTATTACAATGCTGGTGAGTTTTGTATTTCAAGTGGTGAGTGTAAACCACATGTGTAAACCAGTATCGTGAAGACAGCAAGCCACTAAGTATTACAATGCTGGTGAGTTTTGTATTTCAAGTAGTAAGTGTAAACCACGAGTGTAAACCAGTATCCTTGAAGACAGCAAGCCTCTAGGTATTACAATGCTGGTGAGTTTTGTATTTCAAGTAGTAAGTGTAAACCACGAGTGTAAACCAGTATCGCTTGAAGACAGCAAGCCTCTAAGTATTACAATGCTGGTGAGTTTTGTATTTCAAGTAGTAAGTGTAAACCACGAGTGTAAAATCAGTATCATTATTGAAGACAGCAAGCCTCTAGGTATTACAATGCTGGTGAGTTTTGTATTTCAAGTAGTAAGTGTAAACCACGAGTGTAAACCAGTATAGCGAAGACAGCAAGCCTCTAAGTATTACAATGCTGGTGAGTTTGTATTTCAAGTAGTAAGTGTAAACCACGAGTGTAAACCAGTATCGCATGAAGACAGCAAGCCTCTAGGTATTACAATGCTGGTGAGTTTTGTATTTCAAGTAGTAAGTATAAACCACGAGTGTAAACCAGTATCGCGAAGACAGCAAGCCTCTAGGTATTACAATGCTGGTGAGTTTTGTATTTCAAGTAGTAAGTGTAAACCACGAGTGTGTAAACCAGTATCGCTTGAAGACAGCAAGCCTCTAGGTATTACAATGCTGGTGAGTTTTGTATTTCAAGTAGTAAGTGTAAACCACAGTGTAAACCAGTATCGCGAAGACAGTAAGCCTCTAGGTATTACAATGCTGGTGAGTTTTGTATTTCAAGTAGTAAGTGTGAAACCACGAGTGTAAACCAGTATCTTGAAGACAGCAAGCCTCTAGGTATTACAATGCTGGTGAGTTTTGTATTTCAAGTAGTAAGTGTAAACCACGAGTGTAAACCAGTATCGCGAAGACAGCAAGCCTCTAGGTATTACAATGCTGGTGAGTTTTGTATTTCAAGTAGTAAGTGTAAACCACGAGTGTAAACCAGTATCGCGAAGACAGTAAGCCTCTAAGTATTATAGTGCTGCTGAGTTTTGTATTTCAAGTAGTAAGTGTATACCACGAGTGTTTAATTATTGTGGATTTCAAGTAATAAGTGTAAATCACGAGTGTTTAATTATTGTGGAGACAGCAAGCCTCTAGGTATTACAATGCTGGTGAGTTTTGTATTTCAAGTGGTGAGTGTAAACCACATGTGTAAACCAGTATCGCGAAGACAGCAAGCCTCTAGGTATTACAATGCTGGTGAGTTTTGTATTTCAAGTAGTAAGTGTAAACCACGAGTGTAAACCAGTATCGCGAAGACAGCAAGCCTCTAGGTATTACAATGCTGGTGAGTTTTGTATTTCAAGTAGTAAGTGTAAACCACGAGTGTAAACCAGTATCGCGAAGACAGCAAGCCTCTAGGTATTACAATGCTGGTGAGTTTTGTATTTCAAGTAGTAAGTGTAAACCACGAGTGTAAACCAGTATCGTGAAGACAGCAAGCCTCTAGGTATTACAATGCTGGTGAGTTTTGTATTTCAAGTAGTAAGTGTAAACCACGAGTGTAAACCAGTATCGCGAAGACAGCAAGCCTCTAGGTATTACAATGCTGGTGAGTTTTGTATTTCAAGTAGTAAGTGTAAACCACGAGTGTAAACCAGTATCATGAAGACAGCAAGCCTCTAGGTATTACAATGCTGGTGAGTTTTGTATTTCAAGTAGTAAGTGTAAACCACGAGTGTAAACCAGTATCACTTGAAGACAGCAAGCCTCTAGGTATTACAATGCTGGTGAGTTTTGTATTTCAAGTAGTAAGTGTAAACCACGAGTGTAAACCAGTATCCTTGAAGACAGCAAGCCTCTAGGTATTACAATGCTGGTGAGTTTTGTATTTCAAGTAGTAAGTGTAAACCACGAGTGTAAACCAGTATCGCAATGCTGGTGAGTTTTGTATTTCAAGTAGTGAGTGTAAGACAGCAAGCCTCTAGGTATTACAATGCTGGTGAGTTTTGTATTTCAAGTAGTAAGTGTAAACCCACGAGTGTAAACCAGTATCTTGAGACAGCAAGCCTCTAGGTATTACAATGCTGGTGAGTTTTGTATTTCAAGTAGTAAGTGTAAACCACGAGTGTAAACCAGTATCTTGAAGACAGCAAGCCTCTAGGTATTACAATGCTGGTGAGTTTTGTATTTCAAGTAGTAAGTGTAAACCACGAGTGTAAACCAGTATCTTGAAGACAGCAAGCCTCTAGGTATTACAATGCTGGTGAGTTTTGTATTTCAAGTAGTAAGTGTAAACCACGAGTGTAAACCAGTATCGCTTGAAGACAGCAAGCCTCTAGGTATTACAATGCTGGTGAGTTTTGTATTTCAAGTAGTAAGTGTAAACCACGAGTGTAAACCAGTATCGCGAAGACAGCAAGCCTCTAGGTATTACAATGCTGGTGAGTTTTGTATTTCAAGTAGTAAGTGTAAACCACGAGTGTAAACCAGTATCGCGAAGACAGCAAGCCTCTAGGTATTACAATGCTGGTGAGTTTTGTATTTCAAGTAGTAAGTGTAAACCACGAGTGTAAACCAGTATCTTGAAGACAGCAAGCCTCTAGGTATTACAATGCTGGTGAGTTTTGTATTTCAAGTAGTAAGTGTAAACCACGAGTGTAAACCAGTATCGCGAAGACAGCAAGCCTCTAGGTATTACAATGCTGGTGAGTTTTGTATTTCAAGTAGTAAGTGTAAACCACATGTGTAAACCAGTATCGCGAAGACAGCAAGCCACTAAGTATTACAATGCTGGTGAGTTTTGTATTTCAAGTAGTAAGTGTAAACCACGAGTGTAAACCAGTATCGCGAAGACAGCAAGCCTCTAGGTATTACAATGCTGGTGAGTTTTGTATTTCAAGTAGTAAGTGTAAACCACGAGTGTAAACCAGTATCGCGAAGACAGCAAGCCTCTAAGTTATACTCTAAGATTGGTTTGGTTAGTTGTTTAACGACGCACGCAGCACTATTATGCCAGACAATCCAGTGATCAACAGCATGAACATCGATCTATGCAAATGGGATTCGATGACAAGAGTGAACCAAATCAGCGAGCCTAACCACCCGATTCCGTTAGGCGCCTCTTGCGGCAAGCATGGGTTGCTTAAGACCAATTGTAACCCGGGTCTTCACGGGTGATTGTGAGAAGAGGTGTCTCCTCTCCTTACACAGTACACGTTCAGTAACGAGTGAAGTGCTTTAAACAGAGTGAGTGACTGAGTGAGTTTAGTTTTACGCCGCATATTCTATCTATATGACGGTTGTCCGGACCAGAAAATCCCATTTAAAAAGAAAAGCACACGGTTACAGAAAACTTTCTGTGTCGCTGAAGAACACTTCGTGTAAGACATCTCTCACGCCTAAAAATATGCACCATTAACATTTCGTTTGCTATTTTAGGTAAACCGCCCTGCTGATTCATCTTAAGGTTGTACATAAGGCTGAGACTGCGTCCTTAAACGCCTTCACGATGTCTGAGACACGATCTGGGGCGAAAAGAAGTTGTGGGACTCCTGGAGGATCAAACGAGGTAAAGATGAAAAAGACACTGGAACCATGCCCGGGTCAAAGCAGAGAAGACTGCACAGATCCAAAGGAAACAGAGGCGAGCTGCAAAAATGGTGTCAGCACCGAATCGAAGAAATTGGATTTTATGGCCGAACTATCTGGAAAGAAGGAATCAATCTCCAGAACAATCCAAATGAAACTTCAAAATATACAAAGATTAAAGGCAAGCATTGTCGAGGCACGTAAGGCAAGAACACGCATTCAATCGGAAATTCGATGTGCCAGCCACGCAATTATCAGTCAGTTTAGACAGAAAGAGAAAGAGTTGATGGACACACTTGATGGAGTGTCTGAGAACCAGTTTGGGCTGTTATCAGATTATGTGAATCAAAACGAAACAGACATTCAGTTGGCCAATCAGAAAAGGGTTGTTCTCAAGAAGATGCTTGGCGACAACGACTTGATGGAACTACATCCTGCTCATGAGAACCTTCTATCAGGACTAACAGAAGCTGAAGATCAGGTTGTACGCATTATAAACGATGTCTTCGTATCACAAGACATTGGAAAAGTCAAGAAGGGCATTGAAGACCTTTCCTTTGGTCAGCTTGATTGTACATTCCAGGATTTACATGATCGCTCGTCTCGTCCAAAACTTTTGAATTCGACCACTGTTACCCTAAAAAAAGAAGGACATTTTTGCCATATATTTGATATAATTGTCCTTGATGTTGAAGGCATCAAGACCATTGTTGTGTCCGACCTCGGCAATAGAAAAGTGAAGTCCTTTTACGTTAGAAATGGCAAATCTTGCCATAGCGAGTATATCGTGGCCACACCTCATGATCTAATACACCTGAAACAAAACCAAGTGATGGTATCAGACCCTCATACCTACAGCATATCGATACTAGCCGTCACGCCTGACCTCATTTACCTCTCTGATATCAACACAAGCTCGTGTTATCGGGGCCTACGTGTGCTAACCTCTTCCACGCTAGTAGGGTGTGCGGCAGGGGCGATTGATATCTTGAACATGAAGGGGAAGAAACCCAAACCCATTCGGTCTTATGTCAGTAGGGACGACCGTGGTTATGACAGGTTGTGTGTTACAAGAACTGGAAACATACTGGTGTCATACTCGTGTCCAACTGTCCAGTCTCTCGTTTGCCTGACACCACAGGGAGATCAATTGTGGGAGCACTTCCCTGCTGAGGATGGGGCGTTCAGAAGACCCTCCGCTGTGGAGACTACCAGAACTGGGGACATCCTTCTGGCAGACTATGAAACCAGCAGGGTGATCCAGCTGACCGAGTCTGGGCGGTTTGTCAAGGACATTCTTGTGCCTGAAGATGGACTGGCTCCTCCCACTGCCTTGTATCTATACAATGAGAGACATCTATTTGTTGGTAGTGGTGGAGAAGTGAAGGAGTATCTTTTGCCCTAAATGAACATACCTTCGAAAGCCAAATCAATATAGGCTGGCACACCCTACATACGCTATAAATGAAGTTATTACAAGCAGATAATGTTATTGTTACGTTTCTGGTTTATATTTGTTGATTGTTTAACTTGTTAATGTCCATATGGTTTGTTTGTTTGTTTTTGGTTTGTTTTTTGGTTTTTGTGTGTGTTTTTGTTGTTGTTTGTTTTTATTTATTTCTAGAGATTATGTCCCATTTATGACGAACACCTAATTGACAGACAGTCAATTGACAGACACTGAACTAGAAGATTAATTAGGACAACACCTACGGGTATAAGGGAACAGTCCACCGTCTAGGTAGTAGAGTAGGGTGAGCCTGAAACTGAGAAGTTTGATTGTGTGTAAATAGGAGTTTGTTGTGATTAAATGATAATCTGTCTTCTCTTCTCCAAGTTGTTTTTACCATCAATTACTATCGAATTTAAAAACAGGTTTGTCACTGAGGTTTGATTGTGTTTATTAATTGAAACATTCATTCAAGAAAAGGATTGGGCACAAGTTATCCAACTTAAAAAAGCCCTCTCACAATAATAGGATATATACAACAGAAGTTAACTGTTAAAAACGTTTGTTTGAGAGATATAGATGTGTACAGATTTGAAAACATTCTGTACATGCCATGTAAGATAAGATTAATAACAATCAGTGATCTAATTTTAACAATACTTTCTATAGATTGTAACAGTTTATGTCTTTGAATAGTATACAATGGACATTCAAGGAAGTAATGAAAAAATATTTTCACATCCATGGCCACTTTGACATGATGCATCATGTTTTATATTTATTCTAAATAAATCATAATTTCTCACTTGTACTCGTCATATATCTTAATCTTGTGTACCTGTGAAGGATATTGATTCATTCTAACCCGGACCCTCACGGGTCTGTAGTGGTGGTAGTAGTAGTAGTAGTAGTAGTAGTAGTAGTAGTAGTAGTAGTAGTAGTAGTAGTAGTAGTAGTAGCAGCAGCAGCAGTAGTAGTAATAGTGGTAGCAGCATAAGCAGTAGCAGTAGTAGTAGTAGCTACAGTGGTAGTAGTAGTAGCAACAGCAGTAGTAGTAGTAGTAGTAGCTGCAGCCTGCATCATGTAGTAGTAGTAGCAGAAGTAGTAGCAGCAATAACATCAGGAGTAGTAGCAGCAGCAGTCTTAGTAGTAGAAGTACCACTACTTAGATACACAACGATGATAGCAGGTTTAGCATTACAGTTTATACTCGCTTGAGTGATCTCCCTTAGTGTGCTGCCTTCAAGGAATTTCGGGCGGTTGGGCAGCCCAGTGGTTTAAGCATCCGCTCGTCACGCTTAAGACTCGGGTTCGATTCCCCACATGGGTACACTGTGTGAAGCCCATTTCTGGTGTCCCCGCCGTGATATTGCATGAATATTTCTAAAAACGGCATAAAACCTAAACTAACTCTAGCCAGAATCTCACTTTAGCTGAATCATAAACGTGGTGCCCGTGTTTGATTGCGATAACGATGTTGTTTTAATTTTCTAAATTAATCGTATACCTTAAAAAATAATATCATTATATTCAAGTGACACACCTCTCGTTAGCTGGGTAACCCATGACCTACATATTAGGTCTAAATTTAGTGGGCACGGAAAATCCCGGAAAGTGCCGAGCTTTGGAGAAAGTAGAACCGGCAGGAGTTCAATACGGAATCTGGGTTGCAATACGGAATTTGACCACGTCATCCGTATTGCACCCTTGTATTACAATCTTAAGTTTACATGGTATATAATAAACTTCAACATCGAATGACTATTTCTTATTTGTTTAATTTTTATCCACCATGGCTTTATACTTCCTTTCACTTGACTGTTTATCTACGGAAAAAAATATTCATTCATAAGTATTCTTATCCGAAAACTGTTTATTCCGGTATATTTAACACGAAACGGTGTCGCCCGGTTTAAAGCAGAAACTTAACGTAAAATGAAGTTTCCGATATTGGTTACATCGAACAGACAGGAAGAGGGGTTGGCTGCATATCCAGAATATATTTAACGGAATATTTTATGTTAACAATATGTGAAATCGTTTTTCGTTTAAGTTCATTTGTCATTCCTTACTTTTCCATCTCCCACGCACACGATCTGTTTCATATTTGCAATCTATCTCACGAACTGCCACTCGCAAATGTAGTTGTGTGGTATGCGTTAGCAAGGCCTGGGGGTGACGTAGCTTCTCGTTATTGTCACCATAAGCACGCTTACGACTACCCCTGTTCATCTATCTCAATAATAAGGCCACATTAACGGATTAATCGCAGTAAGTGAAGATTATTCCACGAGAACACGCACGGTGCAGGACCGGGGAAACATTTGGTGACTTCGGAAGGAATGGTCTATAGAGACGAAATCGTTCACGCTCAGACAGTGTGTTTTGATTGTCAGGACATTCTGGGGAAACAGCGTTATGTCTCTAGCTGTCTGCTTGGTGGTTTCCTATATAGCAGCCGGTGTTGCAGGGGTCGGTCCTTACCACCTGTAATGGCCTGTGAAGATCCGGGTAGAACTGGTCTTCAGCTTGTGGGAATAGGCGCCTCGCGGATCGGGTGCTCTGGTTATCTGACATGGTTGACTTCGTATCCCAATTGGGTATATTTGGGATTACACTTTCTTAGCTGGCGATTTGGTACCTGACTCTGGGGGTGTGGGTTCGAATTTGTATTTTACTAAGGTGTAATCCCAAATATAACATACTAGTATGTGCTCTATTTTTATTTCTGGTAAATGTTGGAAGCTTACAGGTGTAAACGAGAGGCCGAACTCGAATAGCCCTTCTCGCTCTGTGCAGATGAATGGACACTTCTTGAAGCTGTCAGTTCACAAAGCATTTGATGTAGTTTGTTCCGCAGTTAATGTTTGCATACAGAGAGAGGTACCGCCGGTTTACTGACATCAGGTAACACAAACCCCACGATATTGTACAAGTGATTCCTAGCTTTGCTGCCACTACCCGACTGCGAGTGTGCTATGGAATCACCTTGATTATGGTTTATGAATACCAAATCCTAGCCTAGAGTGAACAGCAGTATATGTTAACCGACGCCGAATTTGGGCCGAACTTGCTTAACTCCCGTTATGCTGTAAATGGTTTACGGAAGCAATTTCCTTTAAATGGTAAAGTCTTTAAGTATCAGCATCCTACTTCATGTAGCCATGTCCCTATTATATAAATTTTGAGTTTCATAACCGATGTGGATCTAAGTTGATTTATGTCGACATACTTCTGTTAAAACAGTTGTTTTGTCGTCTCGTCTCTACTCGATGTGTGGTTTCATGTCGTACGCTTAATTGACTGACTGACTTAGTTTGGTTTTACGCCGCTTTTAGCAATATTCCAGCAACATCACGGCGGGGGACACCAGAAATGGGCTTCACACATTGTGCCCATGTGGGGATTCGAACCCGGGTGTTCGGCGTGACAAGCCAACGCTTTAACCATTAGGCTACCCCACCGTCCTCGTACACTTAAACTTGATATGCTTTATTTCGATTCGCGTCCACGGGGTCGGTGTCTTATGTGAACACGCTTCCATTGGACTTATTGTTTTGTGTTGCCACTCTTCTACGTGGTGTAGGAGATTAGGGCATTGTCTTTCAATGAATATCAGACTATAATGATGTTGCAATGAAGGTAGGACATACTGATTCAATGGAGCTCGTACATAGTGTTTTGAAATATGTTGTCTTATATCAGGTGAGGTGAAATGGGGTTTAACGTCGTGCCTTAGAATATTTCGCTCATATGACGACGTGCATGCGTGTGTATGTGTGACTGCTTGTACAAGTCATCTGGTTTTATAGTGCAAGCTTACTGAGATACCATGCCGCAGTTAAGCATGAATACACCACTCAGACACATCATATTGACTCCAAGCCAACCAGTCCTTGTTGTACCCATTAATGCCGAGAGCCAGGCAGGGAACAACAAGTACCATATGTTAACGCCTTTTGGTATGACACAGTCGGGGATCGAACCCGCGACCTTCCGCTCTCCGGGAGGACGCTCTAACCACTACACCACGGATGCGGTCTGCCTTATACCAGCTCGCCTCCATTGGATCTATTAGGATTTTTGTCAACACGCCTCTACGTGGTTTAAATGAGACTGAGGTATCTTTTTAAAATGAATGTCAGACTAAACCTGTTTATGGTAGCCAGATCGTCCTGGTATAATGGAGTTGGACATCATGGTTTAAAATAGGCCAGGTCATCCTGGTTTAATCAGGGTTGGGCATCCTGGTTTAATGGAGGTCAGCATCGCGATTTAGTGGAGGTCTGGGCATCCTCACTTCATGGAGGTCAGTCACCCTGGTTAGATGGAGGCCAGGTCATTCTGGTTAAATGGAAGTCAGGTCATTCTGGTTAAATGGAGGCCAGTGACATCCTGGTTAAATGGAGGTCAGGTCACCCTGGTTAGATGGCGGTTAGGGCATCCTTGTTAAATGGAAGCCAGGGACATCCTGGTTAAATGGTGGTCAGGTCATTCTGGTTAAATGGCGGTCAGGTCATCCTGGTTAAACGGAGGTCAGGTCATCCTGGTTAGATGGCGGTTAGGGCATCCTTGTTAAATGGAGGTCAGGTCATCTTGGTTAGATGGCGGTCAGGGCATCCTGGTTAAATGGAGGCAAGGGACATCTTGATTTTATGGAGGTAAGTCACCCTGGTTAAATGGAGGTCAGATCATTCTGGTTAGATGGAGGCCAGGTTATCCTGGTTAAATGGAGGTCAGGTCATTCTGGTTAGATGGAGGCCAGGTTATCCTGGTTAAATGGAGGTCAGGGACATCCTGGTTAGATGGCTGGTTAAATGGAGGTCAGTCAGGGCATCCTGGTTAAATGGAGACCATGGATATCCTGGTTAAATGGAAGTCAGGTCAATCTGTTTAAATGGAGGCCAGGTCATCATGGTTAAATTCCTGCTTTAATAGAGGTCAGGTCATTCTGTTTAATTGACAAACTCCTGTCATTCCTGGTTTAATGGACTGGTGAAACCACAGTACCCAAAGTTATTACGAACATATATACATATAATGTATTGTTATATACATGCACACGGTAAGCACTGATCTTCAGTAACCATGCTTGTCGTAAGACATCTAACGGATAGGGTGGTTGCGCTGACTTGGATCACTCGTGTCATCGTATCCCAGTTGCGCAGATCGATGCTCATGATGTCAGTTTTTGGATTGTCTGGTACATACTCGATTAGTTACAGGCCGGCGTCATATAGCTGGAATATCGCGGCATTAAACGACAAACAAGCGATATGGTTTCCAAAACGATGATTAAAACATGCAATGACATTAATAAGGGGTGAAGATGGGTTTAACGCCATGTTAAAGGTAAAAGGTTAAAGGAAATA